TTGAAAAGCCCAAACTTAATCATAGGAATGACAAGCAAATGTTTCACAATTAAATTTCAAAATTTATCAAAAGTTTTAAAATAAAGTCTATTACAAAATGGTACTACAGCATTTATTTATTACTGTAGCATTTACTTCCATTCAAATTTTTGTCACTTTTATTTCCTATGTACTTCTCAAAGTGATAGCTTTGTTGTTGATACTTTTACTGGGAAGTACAGCTTCCAAGAGTCCTTAAAGTCACCTGTTCTTCATCCCCATAACACTACTTTCCAAAGTATGTATCAAAAGTCATTTGGTTAAGTGGAAGATAGAGCACAAGATTTTAAGAGACTTTACAAAGATAGTCTTGTAGATCTACATATAGAGAAATAAATGCTGTATGTATGTATGTATCTATATGGATTTTAAAAGTTAAAGTTTTGGTTAAGAAAAACATTAAAATTATCCAGATACTCTATGTGTGTGTGTAAATGTGATTTCTCTGATTTTGTTATAAAGACTCTTTCCTATTTGTGACTGGGCTACTATGAGTTACATAAATAATTGGGAAGAAGAGGATTTAAGGCAGCTTCTTTAAAATTCTTTAATCAACTATTCAAAGTATTTCCAGTAAACAGTAGCACCTCTTCTTAGCATAACCAGATTCTAATAACCAATCTAAGAAACATAGAAATGTTTTACCATCTTATTTGCTTCTATGAAATGTAAGCAAGCAACCCTACTGTGCCATACTTCATACTGTCTAAGCTCAGCTACTTCGAGAAAAAGGCCTTTTTCTTGCCTAATGCCACACATGGGAACATGCTGTTAAATAAACTGGCACCTACTGAAAGTCAGATTAACTACATTTAACTAAAGAACACAATTGCCTTTTTTTTCTACTCTCTTCATTTTCTAAGGGGGTAAAGTTTTACAGGCTAAATGTTTGGCTTTCCTTTACATAAACACAGCAGGTCTAACAACCATGGTAAGAATGGGAAGAGTGGCCCTTTCTAAGAGACTGGAACTGTTAAGTTGCCAAAACATCTAGCCAATGCATTCAAAACATGTGTGTGTGTGTGTGTGTGTGTGTGTGTGTGTGTTTACACTCACCATTTTTCCACTGGTCATTGGGCCTCTGTTGTCAAACATCTGATTCTCCTAAATACACACACACACACACACACACCCCAGAACACAAACTTTGCAACCAAGTATTTTGGCAGCTTGAAGATACAACCTAAAAAGGAGATTCCACATCTGGGTTACTTCCATGGAAACCTCTTTGTTTCTGTCTCCTTCCCCTTCTCCACCTCTGCAGCACAAGAGTTCAATATTAGAACTGAATTTTAGAAGTATACTAAGCAACACAGCATTCTTCCATCAAGAGCCAAGTAGTTTTCCAGCTCCACGCCCCAGACCTCCTTTTCAATACAATTCTTAGGGTTTTCTTTTTAAGAGTAGTTTGGTCAAAGCCTTCACCAAACCAAGTTCAGCACTCCCCCTACTGGCACTCCAGGAACTGACTCACCTTATTTGGTGGGTCTATAGAGACCCATGACAATGATCTTAGTGCCCAAAGGAGGCAAAAATTAATTAATTAATTAAAGTTCAGGTCAAATTTAGCTTCTCAAAAGTAAAACACTTCTTGTTTTAAATAAAGAAGTGGAAAGGCTGGAAACAGATTTTGACCAAAAAAAATTTAAGAATTAATTTAATTTTTAAAATTAAGATTAGCTGACCCAAGTTTTTAAGAAGCACCTGAAACAACTTTTCTTTTCTGCTTAAAGGACTAAAGTGGTTTTTAAAAAGCTATATGAAATACTATCACTTCAACAAATATGTTAAATAAATATACCAACAAATGAAAATCTGACATTTCCTTCAGTATCTATTAAGGTAGTGATGGCATTCATATGATATTTCTAGGGATCTATGATTTCATCCATTTAGGAGTACTCCCTCCATCAGTTCAAACTGGAATCTAGAGGAATTTTCTTATAGTGCCAAAGAACATCATATTTCAAATCAGAGGGCCTGTGTTCAAATCCTGGCTCTGGCATTTACTTTCTGTCCCTTACTATCTTGCCCTAGGCAATTCACTAAACCTCGCTGGGTCTCAGTTTCTCAACTGTAAAATGAAGAAAATGGTCTCAATGACTTGTAAGATTCTCTACATTTTCCATCCTCTTTTATCTTGATGGACAATTTCAATAAATTGCCATGGCCAAAATGCATTCAGTACTTACTAGCCAGTCTTCTAGAAATGAGACTCTTGATGCTTATCAAGGCTAGGCCTCTGCCCTGATCCGTTCTAGAAACTTTTCCAGCTTTGTAGAACATGGCAGAGGTTGAAGCCTCCAGCTTCATCTCCATGCAGCCCACAAATGAGACTTTAGAAGAGATTAAATCAACTATATGCTGTAGAACTAAATCAACTAAATGCAGCAAGTTTTCAGCCAGCTCATTCACTGTAAAACCTCATCTCTTGTTCATGCTTGAACTATGGAACTGAGTGAAATGAGCACTAGGAATATCCCCAGTTCTGTATATGGACTCAGTGACCCAGTAAGGAGCCTCAACGTTCAGATACAGAAGGGTTCAACTAACTCTCAGGAAACAGCTTGGTTTCCAAGCCTATTTCCATCTTCAACTTTTTTTTAAACTCCGATTGGCAACTCTCATAATAACACTGACTCCCCAGAAACTAGACTGAAACAAGTAACTCCAAATTAAACACCCAAGAATAAAGACTTTTAATTATTACTATCCCGAAAACCATAGAAGCAGAGGTAAAATGTTACTGTGCTGGGCTTTTGCAAACTTACTTTCTGGTCTGGGTCCTACTAAAAAAAATTTACATGTGGCATGAAGTTGATGAGTTCTTGACCACTTCAGCATGATTATAGTAATAACTCAAGGTATGCTCATTGCAATCAATTATGAATTTTCATTCATTATTAAGCATGAATACAGTAATACTTCTGCCCTTATTGAATATCCTTTGTAATGCATGAAAGTTGCTATCCAAAAATTGCCTGGGAATTCTCTTACTTCTGTTTCCATAAAGGCACTATCACAAAGAAGATTATTATCTTCAACATGTTGCTCATATGTTTGGGAAATGATTCCTAGAATACTTGGAATTGTCAACAACCACTGTGGCCTCTTATTTCTCTTTAGGTCTTAAGAAATCAAGGAAAACTGGACAGAAGGAGAAGTTAAAAGAAGGAAGGAGTGAGCAAAAACTATTCTTTTGGTCAATGAGGGGTCTTCACACTTATCATTCCTGAAGTGCTGGGGCTTCAAACCCTTAAAGAGTGAAGTCATGTTGGTTTTGATACAACAATCTACCACTATGGATTTCATTGATGTCACACTACTTTCTTACTAATACAGGCAACTATATGAAATTTGTCATCATTTTTTACAACTTTAGCCAACATCTTAATTTATTTGTTTTTTAAACGGTAAATAGCCAGATGAAAGAGAGTCTGGGTTTTGTGTACATGTGTCTGAAAAGCTTTTTTCCACTGTGAAGCATAGACAAAGGTGATAAGAATCTAACAAGTTTCCATGCAGAACTATTTGGATGGCTTATTAGTCAATTCCTCCACTCCCGTTTCCCCAAAGCACTCATTTTTCACTTGTCTGTCATAGTTGTTGGAGGTCAAGTCAAGAAAGTTGAAAATGCAATGCTTTGGTTTCTGATACATAAAAGGTATTATGGGGGGGGGAGGCATTATGAGACTTCCACAGCTATGTCTAGAGGTGGAGTAGATTCAAAGGGCTGTGCATAGTGAAGGAAAGTTTCTGTTAATGATGACATCATTGACATTTCCCAAATTTAAAGGGGCATTTAAGGCACAGCAGATGTGATTTTTTCCCCTCCAGTGAAGAGACACTAGAGAAGGCCTCTGGGTACACGGGTAAGAAATTTCCCTAATTGCATGGATTCCATTTAGACCAAACCAGAGAAAAATGAACTGTTCGTGTTCAGTTACTGTGGCATATTGCCTGTGACATTCTATGCTCCAAGTTAATGAGTCTCCTAAAAGCTTAGACCTAAAGTGTTTTTCCATTATAAAGAAATACTGAAAGACATTGATCACTGGTAATGTAGCATGTTAAAGAAAATTATAAGGGTCACTAAGGGAATAAAGAATTTACTACATAGAGATTTAATATCTAAATCAAACATTTATTTATATAGGTCCTTTCTGGAATCACATGCTAATCTGGATGAGGGTAGAAGGGAGGGAGATAGGAAACAAGCAAAATAAAGGAAGGAATTCCTGAGTTTGCCTCCTGGCTAGGCAGCACAGGTCTAATATTACACGAACGATGGTTCTAATACCTGCCAACCCATCAGCTCCGGGCATGAGCAGAGATATACACATAGGTCCCAACTGGACCCCTTAAATTGCTACATCAAAAGATCCAACAGTAGCAGCAGCAGCAGCAGCCACAGCAGCAGCAGCAAAACAATAATGAATTCGGTGTGAGATCCTGCAATGCAGAATCCTCTCCGAATCTCATTATTGAACCGAGGTGAGGGAAGTCCATGACATGGGCATCTCATGTATGTGCAAAGAGACTGAGAGGGTTACTACTGCATTTAGCCAATGGAAAAAAAGGGGACACTCCAGAAGTCAACCCTTAACCCCACCACCACCACCTTTAACCTTTCTCCCACCCTCCCGGTCGAGTGCAAGCTCTAACTTCTCTTTCAGTAAGTGGACCCAGGCGTGCACGGGAGGTTGGGGGAGGGGGGCGGTCTCCCACTCTCCCCTCCTTGCCACCCCACGGTAGGAGGAAAGGACATTGAGCGCTCCTGCTGCCGCCTGTCTCTGCCTGCACCACGCTGGGTGGACTGCACACTGGCGATGATTTCGGATTAGCAGCAGCGCACCTGTCCCATCCTCTCTCCGCTGCAGTGACACTCACAGAACCGGGTGACCTGCCTGGCGCCCGCCATAGAATGGCCCCAGCAACGCGAAGAACAGCCAGTTTCTTACCTGCTCTCTACGCCTGCTCCAATCCTTTATTAACCGACTTCCATTTTCTTTTGCTTTAAACTAAAAGGAAATCAAATCAGCTGGTTTGGTTTTTCCCCCCCTCCTTCTCTCTCTCTTCTCTCTCTCTCCCCCTTTCCCAGCTGCCGCTCTCAGTCACCGGGATCCTCCTCCTTCTAGTCCTTCTCCTCCTCCTCCACCTCCTTCTCCTTCTCCTTCTCCTCCTCCTCCTCTCTCCCCGTTGCCTGGAGGAGCAGCTGCTTCCCTCTCCTACACTCACCCTGCAGAAGCTTCGGAGAGATGCCCCTCCCCCTGTCCCTGACGTCACCTGGCTGCAAACTCCCTCCCTCCCCCCCACCCGCCTCAACCCCAACACACCCCCCTCTTCTCCCTTCTTACCCTGCAGAAGCCTCTCAGCAAGAGTGGCCACTGCCGCCTCCTCCTCCTCCTCCTCCTCCTTCCCCTCCTCCTCTATCCTCTCCACCTCCTGTCCCTGACGTCACAGGGCTGCAAGGCCCACCCACCCACTGCCTTCCTCCTCTCCTGCAGAAGACTCGGCGACAACCTGCTGCCTAGAGCTGAGCAGCGCTCCAGACCACTTGTGCTCCAAAGACGTGCCTGGCCGTGGTGGCTCCCCCGCTGTCATCCCGCCAGGAGGGAGGGAAGCCAGGAGGGGTGGCCTGGGAGCTGGAGGCAGTGCCGGGCCAAGGGGCCACTTGGCCACACCTAACGCCCAGGCCAGGATCATTCCTGAAGGGAGAGTGTGGTGATGAGGGGAAAGGCAGAGCCAACTAATCGCAACTTATTTTCTGCTGGAGAAAGAATTTTAAAAAATAAAAATGAATAAGAGGGTTGTCAAAGGGCAAAAGCTTTGGCTCAAGCGCACCGTCTATCCTTCTTAATACTTTTTTCTTTTTTGGCTTTCTGCTTCTCACGTTGCTTTTACTTCTCTCGCCACTACATTACTATCATCTCTAACATTTTCCTCTCTACTCCCCTAACGCCCCCTCCCGTGGATGTCAGTCTAACCTGACAGCTGGTTCTCTTGCCTCCTAACCCGGTTTTCTTATCTTTCTTTCCATATTAACTTATCTGTCTCCCAATTGTTTTTTTGCTCCACTCCTTTCAGACGATGCCTCTTCTCATTCTCAGAGTTCAGAGGATCTTAAATCTAGAGCTGGAAAGGAAGACTGACCACTCTCATTTTACAGATATGGAAACTGAGGCTTGGGAAAGCTAAATGTCTTTACACAACTAGTGTGGATCATCTTCTAAAAGCTCCCTTTTTAAGCACTTCTTGTTTCCAAAAAAGGGGGAGGGGGGAAGGGGGAAGCAGGTTGGTGGTGAAATCTACTTTTGAGATTTTAAAGGACTATTTCAAAGGACTTTGAGCAAGTCATAAGCCTGATTTGTCTCTGTCTCTCTCTCTCCCCTCTTCCCTCCCCTCTTTCTCTCCATATATATGTATATATGTATATGTATATATTCATAAAATAAATGTGAAATGGAAGTATAAGTAGTAACTTTTTTAACCATCTAAAATCTTGCTCTTATGTGTAAGTTCAGATGATTTTGTACCAGAAATCAATAATTGCACAATAGAATTTAACAATAAGTGCTAACCCAACATTTCAGTGAAATAGAGAAAAATGTAGTTCTTGTGTGAGGGGGTTTCTTTTGAAAACAATTTCCTGAATTGGGTTAGTAAAGAGATTTCCCCTTACACCATTATCATTTAAATATGAATCTTCCTCTTTTCAGCCCCACAGCACAGGCAGCAACATATCAAATGCACTGACTAATAAGTATACTTAACTTTACGCCAGTTTGTGCCTATTGGAAAGTATCAGACTAGAGCTAAATAACCCATAAAATTGAATTCACCTATGCTACCTGCATAATCCACCGATGGCAACTGGATGGCGGACTACATGAGTGCCTCAGACTCTACACTTGGCCCTTTCTTTTCTTTTCTTTTTTTTCTCTAACAATATTATCACTGACATCAATTGAAGGCATAAAGGACATATTTGTCAAATTTACAAATAAAACTAGTGGGATAGCTAACATGTTGAAGAATAGAATAAGAACATGGAGCTGGATCTAGAAAAATATGTTTTAAACAGGATAAATGCGAAGTCCTATAGTTGGGTTTTAAAGAATCAACCAAGTACAAGCTGGGGAAATAGTGGCTAAAAACATTCCATGTGAAAAATAAAACAGAACAACAATAAGCCAGCAGGCATTTGTGTATTGCATGTTCTCAGTAAGTCAACGGTGTGGCATGTCAGCCAAGAAAGTCAAACTAGATAACAGGCTGCATTGATAGAAGCCTAGTCTCCAGACAGCTAAGTTTATGGTCCTCCTGCCCTCTACCCTTGTCTGAGCACATCTGGAATATAATAAGAGAACACTTTAGTGTTCTTGGAGTGCTTCACATACATCGTATCACTCGATCCTCATAAAATTCTCTGGGGTAGAGACTAGGGGTATTACTATTGTTCCCTTTTTATAGGAAAGAAAACAGACTGAAAGGGTAAGTAACTTGCCTGAGGTCTCATAATTACTGAACCATCAGTTAGGATTTGAATCCAGGACTCCAACTCTAGCATGCTGTCCACTAGCTCATGAAGTTCTTGGTACACCTTTTAGGAAGAACATTGACAAGCTGGAGCCTTCTACAATCTAGCTTCTACCTGCTCTGCCAGATATTTTGTATTGTTCCCCTTTGTGTATTCTCTGTTCTAGCCAAAATGGACTAATAATTACTGTCATCCTTCAAGGCTCAGATCATGTTCCACCTCCCATGAAAAACCTTTCCTGATCATCTCTCTGACACCCTCCACTCTGAAATTACCACACACAAATTGTTAGTGTTCACTCCCTCCTAAAATTACTTTGGACATTTATTTATTTGTGTACATGTTATATTTCCTGACTTTTTGCGGGTAGTGGCTTTCATATTTTGTCTTTGTATCCTCAGCATTAGAATAGTGCCTTGCACATAATAGGTGCTTTATGAAGGTTTGTTGAATTAACATTAATTTACGTAGCATTCTTTCTGAGTAATAACTGCAGTACAATGAAACATAGCAACTTGTGGTATTTTCAGTGCCAGCTGGTTGGTAGTTACATAGCACTTTCTTCAAAGACCTGTGAAAAGCACTTATCCCAATCCCTGAACTACCAGAATCACTTCTACACGATATACACCTGACAATAAAAAAAAAACTATAGATACAAATGTAATAATGACAGTAAATAATCAGACCAAACTCTTATTGAAAATTCAGTTTCTATTCAGTGTCAGTTTTTCCCATTTCCTTGATGATTTAATTAGTTTATTTTAATAAGATCTTGAGCTACACAATTCATACCCATAATGAAGATAGACTCAAGGGATGTCTATTTCTTAAATGCAGGGAAATTTTATAGACTGTAAGAGAAAAATGATAGCATGTCTACAGAGACATGTGCCTATCAAATTTTTGTACATGGTATTATATTCCCCCATTGGCATAAATTAGTGTAAAGAGACAGTGATCAGGCAGAACCAGCATGCCTTCACCAAGAATAGGTTATTGGGGGGGGGAAGAATAAGTTATGGTAGGCTAACTTAATTTCCTTTTAATAATGAAATAATGAGGGGCAGCTAGGTGGTGCAGTGGATAGAGAACCGGCCCTGAAGTCAGGAAGACCTCAGTTCAAATCCGGCCTCAGACCCAACACTTGACACTTACTAGCTGTGTGACGGGGCAAGTCACTTAACCCCAATTGCCTTAAAAGCAAAAAAAAAAAAAAAGAAGAAAGAAGGAAAGAATGATAATAATAATAGCTAGCATTTATATGCCACTTACTATGTGCCAGGCACTGTGCTAAGCACTTTACAAATATTATCAAATTTGATTCTCACAACAACTTTAGGAGATTGGTGTCATTATTATCCCCATTTTACAGTTGAGGAAAGTGAAGCAAGCTGAGTTGTGACTATTGAACTCGGATCTTCTCAGGTGGAGAACACTATCTACCGTACCACCTACCTGCCTTTCCTGAGAGAACTACTTAACTTTTAAGTCAAGGGAATGCCATAGATACAGTTAATTGAGATTTTGGCAAAGCATTTGGAACAATATCTCATTCTATTCTTCTGGAATAGATGGAGAGACATAAGCTAGTTGGCAGTGTAATTAGATGGATTATGAGATGGTTGATACATCTGAAGACAGCAAGAAAGCATTTACCTGGCTTTGATGAACTTGTTATCATACCCAGATCAACTAAGACCTGAAATGTCTCATACTATTCTTGTAAAGAAGATGAAGAGATGTGGCTTAGATGATAATTTAATCAGATGGATTCAGATCTGGTTGGGTAACTGGACTCAAAGAGCAGTTGTTAATGGTTCTGTGTCAACATGGCCTGAATGAACTGGCGGGTGAAAGATCATGGAAAATGAGCAGTACCACAAGATTGGAGAAGGTTGAATATCCTGATCTTGGGGGGGCAGGGCAGGGTGGTGAAGGAAAAAGAAAAAAAAGAGAATGGAGTCTAAAAACTATAGGCCAATGAACTTGACTTTGGTTCCTGGGAAAATTCTAGAAAGGATCATTAAGAAGAGGGCTGATAAATATCTAGAAAGGTAAGTAATAATTAGAAAGAGCTGGCCTGGCTTCATCAAGAGCAAGTCATGCCAAGCTAACCTTATTTCATTTTTTTGACAGGATTACTAAACTTCGTATATGAGGAGAATGGTATGGATACAGAGTTTACCTAGGTTTTAGCAAAGCTTTTTGTAAAATGTTTCATCTTATTCTTTTTGAGAAGTTGGAGAAATACGGATTTGACGATAATACAATAAAATAGATCTAGAATTGGTGGGTTGGAGGAGGTCTCCAGGAAATATGCCAGACATCTGTACTTGGCACTAAGATGCTTAATATTTTTATCAATGATTTGGCTAAAAGCATAGATAGCACCCTAATCACATTTGCAGATGGCACAAAGCTGGGCAGGATACCTAGCTTAGTGGCTGAGAGTCAGGTTTTGCTGGCATAGTGCAATGTACGTTGGGCTTGGAAGGTGAATCTGAATTCGAATCCAGACTTGAACACTTACTAGCTGTGTAACTCTGGGCAAGCCTCTTAACTTCTGTTTGCTTTGGTTTCCCCATCTATAAAATGGGAATAATACCAGCACCAGTCTCACAGGGTTGTTGCGAGGTTCAAATCAGATAACATTTATAAGAAGTGCCTAGAAGAGTACTGGGCACATAGTAAGCATTATATAAATACT